GAGGATTAGCTGAGATTTGATTCTCCACAGAGTACTGAGCTGACATTAAATCTGCCAAAGCCCTAGCATTCGAAAGCTCCGACACATACAACGCTTCAGTAGGATTTCCGGTTGTACAAAGCAACGCACTGAGGTCTCTGTAGGAGCAAATATTGCGATCAGAGAAAGAAATCTTAAATTGATCGTTGTCGCGGAGAGAGCCGCGCATTACCTCGCTCTTTTCAATAACAGAAAGGAAATATGAGATAGCTTCCAGAATCTTTCCTTCTTCCATTCTAAGGTGTGCCATAGTTTTAAGCGAATCGAACTCTTTTTCAGCATCTCCAACTGCTTCACTTATTACAAGTGCTCTCTTGATATATTCTTCCCCTCTTTCATATTCAGCTTGATTTACAAGCAAAACTCCAAGGTTTAAGTAACCACTTGCTTCTACATCCCAAAATCCATATTCTTTGCTTATCGCAATTGCTTTTTCAAAATATTCTTTCGCCTTGATAAAGTTACCAACAGCGTGTTCCACAACTCCTTGGTTCAGGTAAGCTCTAGCTGTTTCTGCTCTGTCTCCAATGTCTGTGAAGAGGACAAGAGCTTTCTGATTATATTCGTTAGCCTTGCTATATTTTCCAAAATTGTAAAATTTAACTCCCAGCACATTGTAACACGAGGCTACTACAAATCTATCACCAATCTTTTTACCGATGGCCAATGATTTTTGCCAGTAGTCTGAAGCCTTCTCATATTCGCCAACTGCTGCATACACCTTTCCAAGGTGTAAGTAGGAGGTAGCTTCAATATTTCGGTCTCCAACTTCTCTGTTGATCGCAAGTGATTTCTCGAGGAGTTCTCTGGCCTTTTCATAGTCGCCAACAAATGCATACAAATTTCCAAGGTTTCCCTGAGAAATAGCTTCTCCTTTTCCGTCTCCAATTTCTTTGTTGATCGCAAGTGATTTCTCCAACCGTTCTTTGGCCTTCTTATAGTCGCCAACAGATGCATACACATTTCCAAGGTTTGTGTAAGAGGCCGCTTCTCCTTGTCTGTCTCCGATTTCTTTCAGGATCACAAGTGATTTCTCGAGATACTCTCTAGCCTTCTTATATTCGCCAATTGATTGATGCACATTCCCAAGGTTTGTGTAAGAGGTAGCTTCTCCTTTTCTGTCTCCGATTTCTTTCAGGATCACAAGTGATTTCTCGAAATGTTCTCTAGCCTTGTCATATTCGCCAACTAATTGATACAAACCTCCAAGGTTTACGTGACAGTCAGCTTCTCTTTTTCTGTTTCCAATTTCCCTACTGATCAGCAGCGCTTTTTCAGAGAGTTGGATTGCTTCTGGGTATTTACGTTGACGGAAATACATTTCCGCAAGTTTTAAGCTTAGCTCACATACTTCAAGTTTTTCACCATTTTCACGGTAAATTAGGAGAATGTTTTCTGTGTATTTTATGGCGTTTGCGTTATCGCTGATAAGACTACAAGCCTCCCACATTGTAAAATATATCAACTTGTAGAATGATTTGGTGCGTTTTTCGTCTATTATGGCTGCTCTGTCTTTCAGAATGAACAAACATTCCTTGCATAATTCGATGGCTGTTAGATATCGACTGGTGTTGAGAAGGAAGCTTGCAACAAGTAGGCCGATTGAGATGACTACTCTGATTTCGTCTGCGTGGTTCATGTCACTGATCACTTCTGTTAGAATGTAACAGAGAATAAAAGTGGGACCTAATTTGGACCCAAGTTTTTTGGTCCACTAGTTCACTGCTGTTGTTATAATTGTAATATAAACATGTATTTCTATCCTATCACATCCTAGGGAAACCGTACGTAGGGCAGCTAAAACATTATAGCGAGGGGAGGAGAGGAGAGTTATTACAACCTCGTTCCCAGGGTCTCTCTTCCTCTCACTTTCTGGTGCGAGACTGGGGGAGAGATCATGGTCTAATCTGGTCTGGTCACGAGTCCTTTGGATAACTGAGAACTGACGGGACCTCTAATTTTAAAAAATTTTGCATTAAAAAAAGGGTAGAACATCAGATGGGAAGTGGTCAAACCTCTGAACAATGCTAGCCTTTTTTAGGCGTTCAGTTAGTTGGAGCGAAACGTGAAAAATAGCGCGCGAAAAAAGTCAAAAAAGGCGCGCTGTTTTTCGCGCTTCGCCCCAACTGACTGAATGCCTGGAAGAGGTTGCAACAATGCGAAAATAAACATTGCAACAGGTATATTCCAGGGCACTGCCCACAACTTAATTATGTCAACCGCAGACGTTTTTGACACTTTCAGAATCAAATAATTAATGACGCTCTTGCCAAATTCCGTCCAAAGAACGGCTAAAACTTTTCTTTCCAGTAGATGATCTTCCGGATGCATTCCAACTCCTGTTCCTTTAAGTATTTGTGAATAAATCTTAATACAAATCTTATATACAAATATATTTATCTCAACGGCCGCCACGCTTCATGTTTGAAATTGTACCGGAAGTCAGATATCCAATCACGTAACCAATGAGAAAGGCGAGTTTAGATAATCTTTTGTTTTACGACCAATCAGAAAAAAGTCCCGATTCTGGACTACGGACAGACGACTCGTGAAGTAATTATATCAGGCGTTGTTTTTTTTCTCTTTCCTTTGGCCTGCTGTGAAAAAAAGGATCGCCTTATCACAAGTTAAGTAGCTTGACCGATATTAATAAACATGATGTTTTACAAAAGCCTTCAGTTTGCCATTTCACATAGTTGTTATTCTACAGGGAAAGCAAGTTAAGTGTTTTGAGGCAATTCACCTCAGGGATTTGAGGGAACGAGGTTGAGTTATTCATTTTACATTAGAAAAAAACTCAAGGCGGAGATACA